GTCAGGCCTTCAAATTTCTGAACTCTTGGACACTTCATGATACTTTTCACAGTTTGGTTAAGGATACATGGTCAGGCAGCCCCACTGTGGGTGGTATGAGGGGATTGGCCAATATTAATAAGCTACAACACACTAAAGTAGCCCTCAAGGAATGGAACCAAAAGGTCTTTGGGAACATTTTCACCAAACTCAATGATGCTGAACAACTGGGCTCCCAAGCTCACGTGGAATATGAGAACTTTCCAAATGAGATCAATAGGGAATCAACACAACTTGCCAATGCCAAACTTATAAAGGCAGTTAATGATGAAAAAGAGTACTGGAAACAAAAAGCGAACATCAGATGGCTTGACAAAGGGGATGCAAACTCAAATCTCTTCCAGGCCTTTCCTAAGAGGAAGAGGAAGAAGCTTTCAATCACTCATATTCTCTCAACAGAAGGGAAGGGTCTTTCCTCCCCAGGGGAGATAAAAGAAGCTGCTCTAACCCATTTCCAAAAACTCTACAAGGCTGATCATAATCCTATTATTGAGCCAATTATTCCTCTCATCCCAAAGGTTATAACCCTGGAAGACAACTCCCTCCTTACTGCTTTACCAACTTTGGAGGAAGTTAAAAGATCAGTCTGGGAGCTTGATGGTAACAGTGCAAGTGGTCCTGATGGATATAATGGAAACTTCTTCAAACACTGCTGGGAGATTATCAAGAGGGATGTCCTTCTAGCCTCCCAGAAATTCTTCCTTGGCGTGCCTGTCCCTAGGGCCTATGGCAGCACCTTGCTATCCCTTATCCCCAAGATTGGTAATCCCAAGAAATTTGATGATTTTAGGCCAATATCTCTGTCAACTTTCATGAGTAAGATTAACACAAAGATATTGGCCAATATGCTCAAATTGCTCCTGCCCAAACTCATCTCCCCTGAGCAAGTTGCTTTCCAACCAGGCAAATGTTGGATCTGGGCGTAGGTTGTTAGAGGAAAAACAGTGGTTTTAGATGGAGAAGGAGTGATAGTCGATTACCTAAAGAGATAATCGATTATGGAAGGGTTCAGTTTCTCAAAGGATTTGGTGGAGAGTTTCTGAAGGGGTTGATAGTCGATTTACACAAATATGAAAATCGATTATTGGTGACTGCAGATGTTTCTTGTGAGTGGATAATCGATTATTCCAAGCTGGTAATCGATTATTGGGCAGTTTCAAGGAACAAAAAGGAAGTGTTTTAGTAACGGGGATAAACCAAGGAGGTCTAAGAGATATAACACACTCTTATCCTTTCTTGGGGTTGAAATCTAGATTTCAATTAAGATATAACACACTTAAAGAAATACTAGAACCTAACACTCACACTTAAGGAAACCAACCTTAAGATATAGAAATTAGGATTTGAAAACAGAATACAACCAGTGTATTTCTATCTTGAAATGAAGAATACAATCTGTTTTCAAATGAGGCCTATGGCCGAAATAAACAACAAGGGAAAGGGGGAAATTACAAGCTTTGTTCCTTAATCAAATCACCAAAATATGACTTAATATGATATGCCTTGATGGAATGAAATAAAAGTG